TAGCTAACTTGTAGATAATTAGGATATTATAAACAGGGGATCGTTGTTGATAGCGTATTATACAAAGTGGACGCGATGTGGGACAGTGCAACTGGTTTGTATTCGTTGACTTAAAAGCTGAGTGTCATTAGAAAGAAGAGCTCGTTCTTTTGGGGTTTCTATCATGAGCTTTGGTAGTCGATATTTTATCCCTGGACGTATACTCGGACGTATAAGGATCGGGGCCAGCCCTCTGAGGTTTTTTCTGTTTTTTTTTTTCCCAGACGACGAGTTTAGTGATGGTCAGCTACCAACTGCTCTGGAATTATCATAAATTACGGCTACTTAGTTTATTGCAAAGTGCAATGGACACTTACTACAAATTTCAGCCTCCATAAAGAGCGAAACGGTTTCATTGCTTACTGTAACAGGTATTAGAAAGTGCAATGGTTTTTCACAAATTGTGACAGGTTTAACAAAAAGTGTCATGATTACTAATTGCGACAGCACATTTGTCTCATGAAAAAACATTCGTTTCACCCTGGCTTTATAGAGCTATAGGTTTTGAATGATTATGGCAGTCATTGACCCTGGGAAGGCTGTAAAAAGGGTATCTTTTAAGGCTTCAGGTATAGGAAAGGATAGGGTTTTACTCGTTGAAGTATACGAAAAGGCAGGAAATCTGTCATTTTGTGTCTTTATGGCTTTATAAAGTTGAGAAAACGTTCTATTTTGTGATTGATTCCTATTTAAACGGCAGTGTATTTACAGCACTTAAGGGACCGTTCATTATTTATCACCTGGGGAGGGGGGGGGAGGAGGATTTTTGGGGGATCACTTGATTTTTAGGAGAACAGAGGGGGGATCAGTCGTAACTGAGAGCCCAAAAGGGGGGATCACTGAAAATTTTGGAAGGATTCAGAGGGGGACCACTCAAATCTGCTTGAACAATGCCAGTTTGAAAGCATACAACATAAATGTGCCCATTCTACTGGGAGATGATAGCATTTGCAATCTCAATTTGTTCTAACACAACTTTATTTAAAAACGAAGTCTGTCACACGGGGATGATGAAGATTTTATAGCAAAGGCAATAGAAGACAAAAGCAAGCTATCACGGCAGACGGCACGATACAGTTCTGTACACCAGCCAGAGAGTGAAGAAGAAGAACCTGCTTACCATAGCTAACTTCTTCCCACGCTGTGCAAGCCGATAGTTAATACGTTCAGCTACAACAGTGTACAACAGGGCCAGACCGCGAAACAAAAAAGAAGCGTGCAAGCGAAGCGACATACTGAAAGGGTCTTTTTCTGCTGGAAAAAACCACCCAAAGGCGAGGAAAGAGTAATGAAAACACCCATTATCAAAGAGCCCACGTTAAGAACATAAAGAAGGATTTGGGGTGCTAAAAATGCTGAGAGTACAAAGTTTTGCTTCAAGAGAAGCATGGACGATAAAGCTTACCTCCGACCTGGGACTTCGGAGGGTTTTGAGAAAGCACGAAATCTAAGGATCTTGACACTTACAGATGAAGAAAAAGCGAGAAAGTTGCCAAAGTATGATTGGCAGGAAAAGATGGTCTATGTGACTCCCGGATCACATCGTATTTTCACTAAGTCTAGCGTCATGGCCGACAATGATGAGAAGCTTGTAACTGAGGATGATCGGCACCACGTGATCGTTCGGCCGAAGGCAATAGTTGGATCTTCAGGGAGTGTCTGGGCAAGCGAAACAATTCGCTTGCGACACGAGGATCCAGCAGCTTTTGAAGTTGAAAAGACAGAAACAAACGCTGAACATTCTCTTGGATTTCGCAAATGCTGCGCTAGATTGCACGATGACCTATTTTTGTACTATGACATGACAGAGTCGGACGACTTAAACAAAATTACCGAAGAGCATAACTGTAAATTTTACGCCTATGAAAAGCAAAGAGCAGGTCATCTAAAACTAAGGCTGGAAAAAATGCTGCAGTTGTCAGAGAAAACAGAAATGTCTGACCACAATAAGTCCCTGCTTGCCTGTCGTGTGATTCCGACCATCAAAGACATTTTAAATGCCATTGACGAGGTAGCAAACAGTGATGCTCCAGTTGACACCGCAGAATCTAGAGTTCAATCTGTTTTGAAAGTGAGCCGTCCTTGAAAACAGGGTCTCGAAATAGTTAGTGATCTCTGCTTGCCACCCGTGAAGCCAAGATGGGCAGATTTGACGGATGCCGGACCTGGGTTGGTGTTTTAACTATGAAGTTCGCTTTCGCGACGCTGAGTTGGCGCGAATCCACAACTCGGAGTATCGAGTACGATGCCATCGCTCGAGAGGTGACAGCGGGCAAGGCGAGGCCGAGCGCACAAACTCGGCCATTTCAGGCGCTCTTGTTGACGGTGCAACGCTGGAATGGAAGAAGTACCGTCGATTCGAAGATCTCTGAAGACGAAATCAAAGCCATGTCTCTCCATTCCTACGAACAGTACGAAAAAGAGCGTATGGAAAAAATGCTTGGCACGTTTGCAAGCAGGTCGCCGAAAGGATAGACGACGCCCCTGTCCTGAAGGATTACATCACTAGTAGAGTGAGTGAGTCTCCAGAAGAGTTATTCTTTTTAATGCTTCTGAGTTAAATACGTACCGAAATGCTTCAGAAAACAGTAAGGCCGAAATACCCGGTGCGGCATATCTTAATAAAATAGAGAGTTTTATTGAGGACCACTACGTCCGGGGAGAGCTCTTTTTGAATTTTGTCGGATGCCTGAAATAAGCAAAGCGATGCAAGTTACACACACTCTGTTCCTGGTGTACCAACAACAGATGGGTGGGACCAGTAACAGAAAGATCCCTCAGCCTGTGCCAGACAAGCAAATTCCCGGGCACTTTATGGATGTGTACGAAACGCCGACAACAGGTCGTGCTCCAGACTATTATCAACCGAGGAAATGTCTGAAGGACTTGTACGAACAAAACGCCATCTCTGCGGGCAATCCAAATACCATCGCTGCTTTCTGTGCAACCTATAGTGTCGAGGAAAAGCATGTCATTGAATACCTAGGCCATCTAAATGATATCAACATCAAGGGATATTAGAACAAGAGAGGCTAAGGAGAAACAAAGGTTAGAAGAGGAACTAAATAACATACAAGGACTACCAGTGGGGCATACTTATTGAGAATGGCAAAGTTGAAAAGCTGAAGGTGAGACAGCTCGACCTGTACCTTAAGGAACACGGCCTGACCACTGTTGGTATAAAAGCTGGACAAGATAAAGGCAATTCGCTACCATTACTATCGACAGAGAAGTCCAGGCAACGGGAATGAGTTGTCCAGCAGTGAGGAAGAGAGTGAAGAATCAGATACGGAGTTAGATGATGACGAGGATAGCGAAGATGATCTTGTCATTGCTGATCTCGATGAACAGTCAACTGTTCCTATGCCAGTTTTAACTTTTGTGCCAGATGACCAAATAGCTGAAGTTACTGTACAAGCGAACACTGGATGAAAAAAAAAAGGAAAACAAAAAAGAAAACAAACAAAAACGAACAAAAAAATTAGAAAAATGTGAGCAAAGCTACAAAGGCTGATCTATTACACTATAGATGAAAATAAAAAAGGAGACAGGAACAGCGGCCGATCCTAGCCCTTCCAGATGGCCGAATTGTCGCTAAATATGACCTGCTGATAGGGACTTGGCGGACTGCACTCTAAAAAAAGTAACTTGGCAGTTTCAAGCACTGATTGCAGGTTCAAGCACTTTGCAGTTTTAAGCAAGATTGCTTTTATGTCAACTGAATTCAGATGTCTGGATCCAGACTAGAAAAAGACACGGATCAAGAGACACTTTTAAAAAAAGACTGCGCGATAACGGCTTTATTATGCTGTAAGTACATCATAGTTAGAAATACTACCTGTATATGAACGTTTAAAACACTAAATATACACGTCGAAAGGTGATTATGGGTACAAAGACATGGGGGGGGATCACGAAAGTTATATATAGTTATGAGGGGGGATCACTTCAATAAAATAACATTTAAAGGGGGGATCGGCTAAATTTCATCATGTTTAGCCCAAAATCCTCCGACCCCCCGGCGATAAATAATGACCAGTCCCTAAAAGGGATGCAAAGTTCCTAACAAAGTATGTGAAAGGGTACCATTTGTCAATAGAAGATATACGAAAGGGGTACCTTTCTCGTGAAAATGTTATATAAAAAGGGTCAGAGGTTGGACCTCGGGGCGGAGCCTCCCCCGCATAAAATTTGTTCAGTATCCCCCCCTCCGGATTGACCCCATTGAGGACAAAATAAGTAAATTAGTTATGCTACTTATAATATTCGATTATTATGCGACAGTGTTTATACTGAAGTTTAAAGCTTTTTAAACACCCGGGTCTTCAAATTTATATGTACACTCAATCCTCAGTTTCCTAATCATATTTCTTCAATATTTAGGTCTTAGATAGAATTGAAGCCCGTCGTCTTGCAAAGCACTAATATCTACATTTCAATATTTATACAATCCTAACAATCTTTGTTGCTGTTGCATGTAACAAGTTTTGTGGTCCACATGGGTGGCACAACAATTGGACACCAGATTTCATCCCCACAAGGAGCAATTGTTCTCCGGGTTCATGGGAGTTCCTGGTTTACAATGAAAGACTTCTGCGAATTTAGCAAAGTTTTGGAGTGGACCATTTATCCTAAAAAAATAGTCCAATTAAAATGAACATAAATTGTACGGATTACTGCATTTCCTGAAAATTATTATATCCGACGCGTGCACTGGAACATATAGTTTGCTTGGGCGAGTCGCTTTTGTCTCAAGTGAACAATAGCCGTTGAGCAAATGTATTTCCAGAAGGGGTGGCTAACTTTGGTAAAGCTATGTATCGGTCCCTAGAAAGGTCAATCTACGACACCCGGGATGGATTTTTTTTGTACAGTGCGCAGGCCTCATTTTCTTGGCCGCGCGTTGATCTGGCCCGGCTACTTCGGCGAGCATATTCTCGGCCTTTTTGGAGTACATCCTTCGAGTTTGTCAAAGTCTGCGGGATTCGTTTTTCTATCTGGGAAAGCTTCATTGGTTTCTATATCTCCTGCTATCCTATTACTACGATCCTGGCATGTTTATTTTCCGTTGTCTCCTACCTTGTATATTATTACTGTATATAGAGTGAATTTGAACAAATTACTGCAAATTATCACGAATAAACTTCGTTGGAGCAATAAGGACAACAACAACTAACTGCAGAGTAAGTTTCATTGATCTTTATTTAGTATTTCCTAGAAATTTTAGGATGGTATTTTTACCCCACACAAACACTGTAATTTTACTGGAACCGTACTGTGGTACCATCACGGAGCCTGGGTTACCTGTGCTTCGATGACAAATTTGCCACTGTTTAATATAACTGCCTAAAATAAACAACTTAGCGCACGTATGAATTAGTAAGTTGCAATCGTTAATAGACATTTTAATTATTGCTTTTTTGTCTATTTTAAATCATCTTAATAACGGACGGAAGCGAAAAAAATGCATTTTAAGAGAATCCAACGAGGACCGTCTCGCGCCTACAGTCACGTGCGTGGTCATTTGCGTGTATCGCGCGTTTGTCTCGACAGACCAAGAAAAAAAAACTGCTCGTAGTCTAAGCTTCAGTGCGCCCTTGTTGTTGGTAACATATATATATATATATATATATATATATATATAGCCGAATTTTTGAAAACCTACCTGAAAATGCACCAGAATATTCGCACAGAAAGCTGGCCATAGCCAGCTTCCTGGTCACTGCGCTGAGAAAAAACATAGGGGGCTTGCTGTCCTGCTTGGTCTCATTGTCAAGTTCAGTCCCTGAGCTAAATCGCCATGGGTTGGAAAGGGGCCTCCATGTCAATCCCTAGGGGGGGAGGCTGCTGCAAAAGCGTTGTACCTTCCGTTAGTCCTGGTCTGGGAGAGTCAGTGCACTGATCACGTCTGCCTTTAGTTTGTCATGTCAAATTCTTGTAACGTTTGAGGCCCATTGACCAGTGAAAGCATTCCCCTCAAGCACGTGCTAGGCTGGGGGGGGGGGGTGGAGGAAGTCAGGGGGGGTGACTTAACCTTGAATTCTCTGCTTAGAACTTGCTGAAGTCTCAAGCGTCCTCCGTCATTCAGGGCCTTTAAGCAGCTAGAGTGTATGGACAAGTCCAGAGTGTCTTTTTGATGGACTTGACTGTTTCTTTTGCTAATCAGGAACCAAGAAGAGAGTCACCTTAAGAGAACCATGGGTAAGAGCTGAGTTTCTTGGCGATATTTACTTTAGTTGAGTCAGTTTAAGGTGTGTGGGCTCCTGGTGTCCGATGTTACGGTTTTCATAAATCCGGCTAGATATATATATATATATATATATATATATATATTTTCTTTTTTCGTGGTGGGTTGGATCATGTCGTGGGTTGGCGCTTATTTACTGACGTATCTTAATAACATTTCAGAGAAAGGGTTTCTACTATGAAAGCAGGTTTAATATTTGTTAACTATCGTCATGATAATTTGACAAGTCGTGGTTTTGTTACAATTTAAGGTGATCTGGCTGTGACTAAATGCCTATAAGGGAAGCAAATTAATAGAGAGCTAATATGTTAATCCCATTCTGTATCGGAAAAACTAGGTGTTATTGATCTCTAACGACAAAGGTTGTTTTGAGCTTCCCCTCAGTATGATAATAATTTTTTTCTAACTCATTAAAGGGAATTTTAAATTAATTCGAGTTTCAAAATTATCTTTTTTTATTTCATCCTGACACATAAAAAAGGATATTTCATGCTGTTTTAAAAGGCTCCTGCGTTTTAACGTTTATCTAATGATCGAAAGCAAAAGTGCAGAATCAAATTGCAAAATTCCTTTCACTTTTCCAATCTAAAAATCTTTCACAAAGGTTTTAAAAAACTGTTTTTTTAGTTCTTCAAGTTGATAGGTTTTGTTAAATTGTCATACCATATTGAAAAACCTGAAATTCAACAATAACTCGCTTTTCAACAAACAAAGCAACTACGCAGCTGACAATCCTCACGAACGACTTCGTAAATTCTAAAAGCCATGCAAAAGAAAACTAATTCACTACTTTCACATAGACCGTATAACGCACCTTGTTTAACCCCTAAAATTTCACTTATGTCCAGGATTGATCTTGTTAGCAAAAATTTGCTAGCAAATTGTTTTCGCAATTTTAGCAAAAAAGATTTAAAGGAAACTGCTATCAGAAAAGTGTAGAAGAAATAGCAAATTTCGCAAACATTTCAAAAGTAACAAGAATTCTTCTTGCTTTGTGAAAAGATTGAGTTACAATTTTGAAAAGAAGGCCATGGATAATGCCACAAATTGCGCTAGACTGACTAACAACAACAGGCAAGAAAGGGGCCAAAAACATCCGCGCATCACTGTTTTTTCCTAATACTAATGGTTATGACTTAACTGGGATACGTTCTTGTCTAGTAATTTTAATTTGTAATGCGTTCCATTTTCGCGCAAAGGAAATCATCGGTTACAAACGTGAGACTATTTAATATATAGATTTAGCCAGGGCGCTTGCGTTATTAAACTTTACACAAAAGCTCAAATTTAGCTGACAAAATTAAAAGAAATCCGGTTTGTGTGTGTTCTGTGGCCACTTTAGTACTATACAAATGGTTTAGACGAGTGCGTGGGCCGGTTGCAACACAGGCTACAAAACAAAGACTGACCAGTGATATAAACGAGTGCAGCCAGACAAGGTCTAATGTATCCTGACTTGTTTGAGTTTCTTTGTAGATCACAAAGCACTTGCCACTGTTTACTATACTGCCTAAAAAAAGATATATATGGAAGCTTTACTTCTTGGTATGTATTATTTTATGTGTAAATGTGCTTTTTACTAGTTAAGGTTAGTAAGGATGTATGTTACCCAGGTGTTTCTGGGTAGAAAAGAAATTCCTTCTCGAGGCCCTTCTTTGACTGTTTTTTTCTCTAAGTCTAGAATTTTTTTAAATTTGCTATTTTTGAGGTATTTGTTACTCGGTGTCTTTAGGTAGCAAGAAAAATCCTTGTTACTTTTGCGCCTTTAATTTTGCGGGATTTTCGGGGCCCTTTTTGGCTTTTTCTCTTTCCAAGTCTAGAATTTTTTTAAATTGGTTATTCTTGCAACTCTTGTGATATTTGCAAGTGATTGTATGACAAAATTTTCTGGTGAATCATTTCTTTTGCAAAAATTGCGAAAAGAATTTGCTACATATCTCAACTCTTACGAAACTTTACGTATTCTACCGTAATTAATTAACTGTCTTACCTTCTTTAAAAAGGACGCTAGAAGTTTTTAAAAACAGAAAAATGAAGACTGGCCGGCGTTATGAACGAGTGGAGCCAGACAGGGGCTAATATATTCTGACTCGTTTGTGTTTCTTTGTCGATCACAAAGCACTTGCCACCTAAAATGATTGATATACAGCTGTACTTATTGGTAAATAAAAATTAGACAGTACTTCTTTCATAAGCATTTTTACTTATAGTTATTATTATTATTATTATCATTATTATTATTATTAGTATTAGTAATGGTAACACGACTGAGTGGAGTCCAATTCGGTCTCTAATCATACGAGTGATTAACAAAATTGGACGACCGCGTAGCGGGAGTCCGTTTTGTTTAATCACGAGTATGATTACAGACCAAGAGAGGATAAAGGGGACACAGAAGGCATCCCCCATACACACCCTATTCCATGGGTAATTCGTCTCGAGTTATTTTTAGAAGCGGGATGAAGTTACCTCGCGCGCTGCGTGGATGTTTCGTGGACGTTTCGCATGACTAAACGCCGTGCAAAACATGTCGGGCGAAAGGCAATGAAAGCGTAAAGAGATCGAGAGCACTTCTGAATATTGAAGCGAAATGAGTCGGCGCTTACCTGGGAAAAGCTGGACTCTTTGACCACCCGTGAAATCAGTTTAACTCGAAGTTGTCGTAACCTCAGTGCTTTAATAAAATGAGAAATTTCGCCGGTCTATTGAAACTGGTCGCTTGTACAATAAAGCAAGTAGGACGCCAAGTGTTATTTTTGTTGAATGATAGAATACTAATAAAAGATCAAACATCAAACCAGAAATTGCTCTCTTCAAACTGTAAATTATAAATGATCTTGAGAGAATATTCAGTGTGTTAAGGATTTCCCTGCTGTACTGTTAGCTCTATACAAGAGAGGAGGGGCGATTCTTTTTTAATTTCCATTTCACTGACTCCGCTTTAGTAGAAATCTCTCCTTAAACGTTTTCGTCGACAAAACGAATAGCAATATCGCTCTCCGCGTCTTCCGCCATTTTTGTCGTGAAGGACGCGTGGCTCTGAGCGTGGGTCATCCACGCGGAACTCATTCGCGTTATGTGATTGGCTGTTGTCTAATTAATCCTCCTTGGGATCTGTGGTCTTAAAAATAACTCGAGACGAAAAACCTATGGAATAGGGTGTGTATGGGGGATGCCTTCTCTTTCCCCTTTATCCTCTCTTGTTACAGACCGAATTGGACGACACGAAGTTCTGTTACCAATTAATCATAACTTTAACAAAATTTGTGATATAATAGGCTATTTTTTAGATCAAAACACAAGAAATTCTAAATTTTGCTTTGCTAGCAGTGAAAAAAGCCATTTAAGCGCGCGCGTGATGGCGCGTACTGTCCAATTACTTAGGCATCACGCGTACTGTCCTATTAAACTGTCCAATTAAGGCTGAAATCAGGGCAGTTGACAGCCAATCAGGTTTGACAATTTGTTATAGTTATGATGATGATAATGATGATGATGATGATGATTATTATTATTATTCTCATTATTCTCATTATTATTATTTTGTTTAGATGTAAAGGTGCATGTTACTAGTAAAGGTTAGCAAGGGTGTATGTTAGTGACACGATGCCAGTTATGTTCAAATTTAACAACAAAATTGAGAACGTGCCGTTGTTATGAAGGAGTGGAACCAGACACGGGCCAATGTAGTCTGACTTGTTTGTCTTAATTGAGCAACATTTGTGGCTCGCTTTTTAATATACTGGCTAAAAATAATTGCTTATTGCGCTTTCAAATTAACTGATGCTTCATTAATATGCATTTTTAGTTAGCAAAAATTTGCTAGCAAATTGTTTTCGCAGTTTTAGCGAAAAAGATTTAAAGAAAACTGTTATCAGAAAAGTATAGAAGAAATAGCAAATTTCGCAAAAATCGCAAAAGTAACAAGAATTCCTCTTGCTATATATGAGAAAAGATTGAGTAACAATTTCGTAAAGAAGGCCATGGATAATGCCACAAATTGCGCTAAACTGAGTAACAAGAACAGGCAAGAATTGTTCAAAAGCAAGAAAGGGGCCAAGAACACCTGCGAATCACTGTTTTTTCCTAACACGAATGGTTATCTTAACTGGGATACGTTCTTGTCCAGTAATTTTAATTTGTATTATTCTGATTCTCATTATTTTGTTTAGGTTTTAAGGTACATGTTACTAGTAAAGGTTAGCAAGGGTGTATGTTAGTGACACGATGCTAGTTATGTTAAAATTTATCACCAAAATGGAGACCGTGCCGGTGTTATGAACGAGTGGAACGAGACACGGGCCAATGTAGTCTGACTTGTTTGTCTTAATTGAGCTACATTTGCGGCTCGCTTTTTAATATACTGGCTAAAAATAACTGCTTATTGCACTTTCAAATGTTTATTAATATGCATTTTTAGTTATAATTTTTACTGTAATTATTTCTTGCGAAAGGAAGCGAATAGGTGCATATCTACAAAGAAAAACAAGGGATAATTGGTGATGTAAAAATTCAGTAATTTCTTACTACGCAGTCATTTCCCCTCCACACCTCCGGGTGAATAACGGTAGTCCCTCCATTAGCCTGCGAGCAAGCTCTCCGGGGCGCTCTGGTGGCGGGGCGGGAAAAGGAAATAAAGGTTACAACTACTTCTTTGGATTTTTAATTCCGCCTCCAATTTCCCTGTGGCTACCCGTCGACTGAGCTGTCAGATTTCCGCCAATCAGCGTGAAGTGGAGACGAACGCGAATGTAAACAAACTGACGCGGTTATTCGAAAAAGGCAGTTGACGAGGGGTATCTTTCTGGTATGGTTTTCCTGCTTTCGCGATGGCTATCCGGCAAAGTATTAACACAGCATTATTTATCTTCCTACATCGCATTCCACCAAAACAGAGTTCCCAATTGAACACACTTTAAGCACTTGTTCATCACGTCTAATCTTTATTTCTTCCGCACAGCTTCCTTAACATACAGCCTAATGTAGCTTTAAATGTGCTTCTATGTATGTTTTTACACAATTGCATTAAGGGTCTCTTCCATCTTTTTAATTCTTAGCGACTTACAAAGTTGACTAATTAAATTTTGCGATATCTCCTCATTAGTAATGATTTAGCGGGATAGCAACATTTTCTCTTTGATGACGTCTGAACAATGAGAGCAGAGCTTTTTTAAAGTCTGGCATCCTGATTGTGTATAAAATGGGATTTACAAGGGAGTTTGCATAAAACAAAAACCTCAAAGAATACTCCAAATCAAAAAGTTCTTTGAAAGAAAGGGAATTCAAAATATCAGTTGACCAGGCAACAAGAATATAAATATTGCATGGCAGCCACAACAGTAAAGATACTAAAGTTGTTATAAACAATGTGACAGTTAGTTTTCTTTGTCTTAAAAGAGATGCACAATGGCGCTGAGGATGAGCTCCGAAACGAAACTTAAACAGAATGGACGTGTAAGAAACAAAGGTAACAATTAAACACAAAAGACAGTAGGATTCTATTATGTAAAGGTGATATCCAATCAAAGAAAGCACCTCTACCCCCCAAATGACTGAAACAATTAGAGGAAAAACCCAGACAGCAGTAATTGCCACCGGGTAGACCCAACTCTTGATAAGTCGATGCCTAAATGGACGAAACGTGGCGTGAAATCGCTCTAAAGAAATCACAGCAATGTTTGTTAGGGAGACAAAAGGAAAGAAAAAAGAAAAACGCGACAATGAAAAACCAACTTCCCAAGACAAATTCAATTTTATAAGGCGACATCCCTGTAGGAAATCAAATTGAACATAACCCACGGATAGGACTCCAACTAACATGTCCGCCACGGTTAAGCTTATAACCAAGTACATGCTGCGAGTGCGAAGGTTTCTGTTCTTTATAAAAAGAATGATGGCAAGGAGATTCACCGTTACTATAGCAACAAACTCGGTGGTGAATACGGTTAACCAGATGATACACTCGGATGATGAAAAAACCATGTTGAGTTATTTTCGTCGTTGGTGTTATTGTTTCTTGATTTTGTGTTAGTCGTAACTGTTAACCTGTAAGAACAATATATAAACTTTGATCACTGTAAAGGAAGATCATAATTATTAGACTCTTATTAATTTAAATATTTATCCGTTTCGGATTGGCTATAATACCACGCATAATTCATCGCTTAATATATGATATGTGAATAAATGACAGCAAAATTGCCAGATTATTAAACAGATAAAACTGGAAAAGACAAAGGACGAGGTTGAGTTGTTTTGGTAATTAGTAAAAAGTGGCGGAACATCTCACTTGTTTCACGAGGAAGAAATAGATAAAATATAAAGTCAATCAAGCCAACTATGCTTCATTGTGATTTAGTGCCGAACTTTCTCAAAACTCAGTTTCAGTAAAAATAAATTGTAGCAGTTCAAAAAACAATTTTTTTAGGTGCTTATTGTGAACTTAAGTTTGAGGACGTTTTACACGTAAAGTCATACACATATTCACTGAATGTTTAATGAAAGAATAAGTTGCTGTTCATACATGTTTTTCTCTAAAAAAAAAAAAAACAGAAGCAGAGGTTCGGAAATGAAACTGTACGCCGCTTTGTTTTGTTTATAAGTCGGAACTGGCAGCTATTGTAATGAAGGACTAAATTCATTTTTTAGAAGATGCAGTGCTGGGTTCAAGTGTTGCGGAATTCTTTTAACCCCGCTCCGCTGGTTCAAACAAATCAAGAGGACTGTATCTTTCGATGTAACAACACGATTTAATCCAATCCAACAATCTACTGCGATGTACGTACAACTCTCATATACTCAACGTTCGTAACACAACGATCAACGTAACTAAACGATCAACGATCAACGATCAACTCAACTAAAACTAAAACATTCTAAGTATACAGTGGTTTTTCTACTATCCTTGCCTAAGGCAGTATTTTTACATTAATCACATGTACAGTAAAAGTTCCCATTGTAATGTATCTAAATTAAGTGTCTATTACAAAATCGCACGTTCTTTCACCTTATTTAGCCTAAGAAAATGCATGCAGTTACTTCATTTTATATCGTAAATATACTTGGACTTTGTCTACATTATTGTGAAATCTAATGTCACGAAATCTAACTTTTGCGCTACAAATGTCAATTTCTAATTAATATTTAATCACAGAATAATCAAGTTAAGTATCACCTATTTCTTTCCCCGACACACTCCCCCCCTTGACTCGCCTACGAGTCAAGCATTAGTCTCGATTTCCATGTAGAGTCTAAGGCCGCATTTCTAGGAGGGACTCTTCTTGGCGAAATTTCTGTATTCCGGTTGCGTTCGGTAAGTGCTCGTACTCCCTCCCCTTCGCTCCGAAACTCCAACGGATAAAGTTTCTGAACTGGTCTGGAAAGTCGAATCGGTTTTCCCTTCGTAACGACTCTGACAGTAGCTCCTCTAACTACGTTATCTCTGCCTGTCACTAGTCTCTCTACAACTCCCATCTTCCATTCACCCCTTTTCCTTTCTTCCTCGTACACTACAACTACATCTCCTACTTCTACCTCTCTTTCTTTTTTTTCTGACTTACACTTATGGAATTCGCGCAGGTTTGCAAGATACTCTTTTCGCCACCTATTCCAAAAATGACTCAACCTAGTGCTGAGATACTTAAATCTTGCAGAGCAATTATCGATATTAATGGCATCGTCTGGTTCAGCAACCTCGTCTGGAAGCGTTTTGATGCGTCTCCCATAAATCAGGTGTGATGGTGTTAAAACCTCTTCTCCCACTTCATTGTATTCGTACGTCAATGGTCTTGAGTTGAGTGTACATTCTATTTCAGCTAGCAGAGTTGCCAATTCATCGAATGTCAATCTCGCGTTTCCTAGAGTTTTCCTCAAGCATCCCTTCACACTGGCAACCATTCTTTCGAAAAATCCTCCCCACCAGGGTGCCCTTTCTAAATTAAATTTCCACTCAATTCGGTCTCGCTCTAAATCTGCTTTTACTTCTGGATGGTCAAATAATTTCTTAAGCGCCTTCTCTGTTGCCTGAAATGTTTTCGCATTGTCTGAAACGATCAACTCAGGCATTCCTCTTTTAGCGATGAACCTTCGCAAACAACGCCTAAACGTTCCTGTAGACAAATCTTCTACTAACTCTAAACGCACCGCTCTTGTCACGCAACATGAAAATAACGCAATGTAAGCCTTGCCCATTTGTCCCGATTTTTCCTTTACATAGAGCGGTCCAGCAAAGTCTACCCCTACCCTCGAAAATGGTGGAGCTTCCTTGACTCTAAAATCAGGAAGCGCAGCAGTCGGTGGGGTACTATAGGGTTTCCCAGTAAACCTTCTACAAGTAACACACTCACTCAAAATTCGCTTTACCACCTGCCTACCCCTTGGGACCCAATATCTTGACCTTAACTCAGCTAATGTAGCTCTAACTCCACTATGATGAACTCTCTGATGGCACTCTTCTATGACCAACCTTGTGAATCTATGCTGTCTGGGCAAAATGACTGGTCTCCTGGCTTCACTTTCTAAATCTGAATTAACTAGTCTACCTTCGCATCTCAAAATAGCTCTGTCTTCCTTAATACCAAGCTCGCTAACTAGCTGTTTAAAATTAGTCTGCTGCTTTAAATCGCTTTGGACTGACTTCAGCCATTCAATCTCGGCGCATTTCAATTCGTCAGCTTCCAATCTTCCTGTTCGCTTCTCGTTTTGCTTTGCCTTTGCTCTTGAGTTGTCAATGAATCTCTTTATCCAGGCTGTCACTCTGACGAGTCTCTGTAGCGTGCTGTAGTCATTCACGTCAGTCACACCGGCAATACCACTCACAATTTCCGCCTTTGTCATCATTACAGCCGCGCTTTTCTTTTCTTCGATCAGGCTCTCTGGGGTTCTTAAGCTTTCTGTCAACACCGGCCAATCCTCCGGTCGTTCTATTAGCCATGATGGACCGCGCCACCAAAGCTGGTTTTCTTTCAGCTGCGAGGCTAACACTCCCCTGGAACCAAGGTCAGCTGGGTTTTCTTCTGTCGAGCAGTACGCCCAATCTTCTTTGTCAGTCAATTTCAAAATCTCATTCACTCTATGGCGCACGAACTGCTTCCATTCGCCCTTGTTTTGTATCCAGCTGAGAGCTGTCTTGCTGTCCAGCCAGAACCTCACGCCATCCAACTTGACTTGTGACTGTAACGCGTTCCTCACTGTGTGCATGAGCTGCGCAAGTATTCTCGCCGACATTAATTCTAAGCGCGGAATCGAAAGTTCTTTTAGAGGGGCGACTCTAGTTTTGCTAGCTACTAATCTTACATGAGCTTTACCACCGTTCGTGCGGTACACGAAGTAAACCATGGCACAATAGGCTTTCTTGCTGGCATCCCCGAACCCATGTAAATAACACTCTGTTACATCCCCTCCCTCGGTCTCATAAAGGCATCTGTTTATACAAATCTCTTTAGTTTCTGCCAAATCTTGGACCCACTTATCCCATTTTCGTTTAATTTCTCCCGTCAAAACCTCATCCCAATCGAATTTGCTGTTACAAATTTCTTGAAAAAGCACCTTCATACCGACGGTGACAGGGCTAACCATCCCCAAGGGATCAAATAAACTTGCCAGTAGACTTAATACATTTCTTTTAGTTGCTTCCAACCCCTTAGCCTTGTCGGCTATATGCTGAAAGTTGAAATGAAGGGTATCGTTTTCACAGTCCCAAGCTAGACCCAACACTTTTTCTCCCTTCGTTCCACCCTGGGGTTCTAGTTTCGACTTCGCATAAGTCTCTTCGTCCTCGAGTCTACCCACTTCCCGGGTTGTTTTGTTGCTCTCGCATGTGCTGATCATTTCCCTTAGTCCCGGGTCATTGGTCTTCCACTTTCTCAGGGTAAATCCCCCCTTGGACATTCGCTCCTTTGCGTTCTTGTAAAGGGTGAAGGTTTTATCAACTGTTCGTTCCCCAGTCACTAAATCATCTACATAGAATCCCTCTATCATTCTTTTGACAAATTCAGGGTCTACTTCTGCATAGGTAGCCAGATGGTGTCTTATCGTCTCATTCAACAAGAAGGGTGAGGCATTTAACCCAAAAACGACGCGACAAAACCTATACACTACAACACTCAAGTTACTGTCACGCACGTCTTCGACCCACAAAAACCTCAAACTATCGCGATCTTCTGAATCCACAGCTACATTCAAAAATGCCTTTTCAATGTCCCCCACTAGCGCAATTTTGTTCTCCCTAAACCTTACAAGAATGTCGAATAATAAGGGATTCAGTGATGGCCCCGTATGCAAACAGTCATTTAGGGAGGTCCCATTCTTGGTTTCTTTCGACGAAGCGTCGTAGACAATCCTTAGCTTCGTGGTCTCTGCATCCCTACGAATAA